TTGTTTTTTTTTTTTTTTTTTTTTTTAGTTTTGGTGCCCTGCCAGCGAGGCACGGCACGGTCCGCGGGCTACTGACACTTTGTGGAGGAGGGTATGCCCACACTATTTCTTTGCAGAACGTATGAACCCGCTTTCTCGGCCTAAGTTCAGTTTCCATTTTTTTTTTGCCCTTGACCTGATACCCTTTTGCCGTAACGCCCTGACCAAGGGCACACTCACACAACCACTATCGACCTGGGGCAAGGTCCCACTAGCAAACAGGATTGGATTGAACGCCTGAATCTGGACGCGTTTGTGGAAAGGTGCACAAATGTGAGATTGAACTGCTCTTCTGCATTTGTGGTTAAAACGCGTCCAGATTCAGGTGCTCAATCCAATCTTCTTTGCCAGTGGGACCTCCCCTTAGCAGTCGGACAGGAGTGTGGCCAATCCAGTGTGACACTGAGTGGCAGCGGGCTGACAGGTTCATTACGAATTTCTGGGCTGAAAAAACAGGAGAAAGGCAAAAAAAAAAAAAAAAGAAACAGAGACCTGCCACCGGAAATCACGGCAGAGTGCTTCCCAGCCATCAGATCACAAATGATCTGATGGTGGTGGTCCCCACAACAATGAACAAAGTAACGGCCACATTTTTTTTTCTGGAATAAACTCTACTTTTGTCAGCAGTGATCCTGACACCCCCCATATACTCCGTGATTGAAGGACGGCTCCACCCAATGAGATAATTGCCAACAGCAAGTAAAATACTGAAAATCTTTTATCCAGTCGGCCTATGGCTAGCCCCACCCTCTTTGGGGGTTGGCCACACCCACAACCGATTGAAAAGCTTCTGGCGGGAAGCTGTCTTTGCACGGGCATGCCCAGTGTAAAGGAGAGGAGGAGGGGAACAAAGATCTCCTTACTTTTTCGGGAAATACATGTGAAATACTGACCGTTGGATCCTGAGTACTGCACGGCAGGATTTGGGTCACTCAACTGCCCCACAAACTCGTTTCTATCCTATCCCATTGGTAGTGGAACCTCACCGCCCCTGGGCTGAGGTCCCACTAGCAAAAAGGATAGGATCGAGCTCCTGAATCTGGATGTGTTTTAAGCACAGATGCAGAAAAGCAGTTCAATCTCGATTTCCTGCATATCTCCATAAACTCGTCCAGATTCAGGCATTCGATCCTATCCTCTTTGCTAGTGGGACCCCGCCCCTGGTATCATGTCCAGTGGGGTGTTTGTTTGTTTTTTTTTGTCGCTGTGAGCGGGTCTTTTTTTGAAAGTCTGGCCGTGCTTTTTTTTTTTTTTTTTTTTTTTTTTTTTCAGAGGAGTACCAGAAAAGAAACAAAACGGAACCCAGACTCGGCAAAACTAGGTGCGCAGTGAAAATCAGGGTCGGCAAAAACAGGCGCAGAGGTAGTGGTGGCTTAAAATCGCAGAATCGCAAAATGAGCAGCCACATCGTGTCCTTTTTCTATAAGAAGCTGGTGATTTTGCTATTCTGGGATTTTGAGTCCCAAGTGCGAGTGTGCCCTGCCTGATTTGGGCAGAAGATTGGAGAAGAGTCAGGAGACATAAACGGACTGCCATGAAAAATCGGACACCGGCCCAGCCTCGAAATGAGCAGGGGCCAGGCGTGAACCCAAAAAACCGGCACTAAGGGCCTAGTTGCACTACTCACCATCCGTCACAGTTCGTGGCGGATCCGTGGAGAGTGAAAAATACGAGAATCGTGTCGAACTCGAGGCCTGGTTGGCACGTACTCGCCACAAGATTTCTTCTACAGAAATGTTAAAAAAAATTGTCTCCCCCATGTCGACTCGTGAAGCCCTGCACTCTCCAGAAAGCTGTTTTGTGGCGAGGTCCGAAGACCACCCTCCACAAACCGCCGTGCACAGGCGGGGAAACTGAATTCACTCTCCACAAGTTGTGTCGACGGTGTGGCGAGCCGTCTGACACATTTTGCATTC